GGATCAATGGAACCATTTCTGTCATGCCTGGCCATCTTTAGAACATTCTTAGAGTCCTAGATATGCATCCGCCCCTTCCAAATGCATTTGCCACCTTCTTGGTTATTTGCCAGTAAGACCCCACGATGCAATAAAGCCATAGCCTCCTAAAGCATAGTTGTATCTTCTAGCCTTAACACGGTAAGTGCTCTCTGACTGGTCATGAAAGCAAGCAGGAAATCTGAAAATGCATGTTTGTTTCACCACTCCAGAGGTCGCTCACTGAGTTAACCAGTACCAAAAACTGATGAGGTTCCAGACTAATCCAACAGAAGCCTTCAATGGAATTTACTCTCTAGTGAAGTATACATAGACAACTATTCTACAAAAACCAACACAAGATAATCAAGAATAGTTTGGGGGCAAACCCAAGTCTGTCCCCAGACTAACTATCCAATCCTATGCAATTTAAGCCACAATCCTAAAAATACTTTTGCTTATTAAATACCATGGGGATTCTCTGCAAGTGAATGTGCAGTTTATTTGATTACACTGGATCCCAGTTAAGCCCTGCTCAGGGATTTGTGAAAGAACAGTGGCACCTAAAGATTCCCACTTTCCAAGTCAAGCTAATGGCAATGGATGTAAATATATCAGTCAGATAACAAGTTTAGGCACTTTGGTTTACCAGCCTCACCCAGTGAGCTGCATCCCAACACTGGAAGAGTTGGTTACTTTTCAATCACTTAATGCAAACAATTATCTGCTCCACTGTAGTCTCTCATTAAGAATACCATTAGTATTTCCACATTCCATCATCTTTCCCACGATGTACTCAGTTGTTTTACTCCACATGGGTTTTCCTGATTCCATTATAATCTGTGTTTGGTGCCACACATTTCACTTTCAGAAAGTTACTTTAAGTTGAGTGACCAGTCTAGCAAATCTGAATGGAAGACCATTCATGGGCTCAGTGATAATCTGATAGCATTTTTCCCCTTCTTGGGTCAGAGACCCTTTGACAGACAGACAAAAGGCTTTTGGAAGGGCCATCTCCAAATAAAAGCCTAGCATAACTCAGCAAGATTTGAGTTTTCCTCAAAAGCAGACCCTGGAACAAAGTAACTTCAGCAGCTGAAGGGTGTAAACCAAACTGGAAAACTAGTTTAAAAAATTGCTATAGTTTACACCAAAGCCCTTGTATTTTAGCTCCTCATTAGATATCCAACAGGCTAACATGTTTGCCCCCAATACTAGCTAACCACAAGAAAGTCTATGTAAGCCTTTCAGAAAAATAAAGACTATTTCAAGCCACCTCTGACCTCATGGCTTGCCCTGACAATGAGAAAAACTTCTTGTTCAGGAGGTAAACATTTAATGCTCACCCTCATTTAATTAATAATAGAGGCTGACCAATGAAACAAGGCAATTCACACACTGAGAAGCATGTAAGGGTATCAAAAGAGATCATACATTATGTGTGGTGGCTGCAGCAGTCTTTAAATAAAGGCAAACCAAGGTATGTGAACTAGTAATACGACTCCTTATAGCTGAAATATGAGGTATTGAGATGATGTAGAAAATACCCCTTGGGTAAAGAAGTCTTGGTCATGCTTTCTAAATATGCAATTGCATTTTTCTTGTATCATGTTAGTGTTACTGCAGGTGCTTTGGATGGCTCCTTTCTTTCCTTCATGCTGGTTTGCTACCCTGTTCCCTAGCAACCTATTCAAACCTCCACTCTCTTAAAAGAAATTTATAGCCCTCCATCTCTACAAGCATTACTCACAAGGGTTACAGCAAAACCCAGGCCTGGCAGTGAGAAGTGTTAACAACGAAACTCCAGTCAAGCCTAGAACCTGCCCTATTTAAATTTTTAAAAGAATAAAAAATTAACCATTTTAATTTACTTGGGAAGAGGGAGCCAGAAATGTGTTTGAGCCAAAAAAAATCATATGAAACATTATTTTTTAGCACAGATGGTACCAAAAACACTTTTAGTGAGAAGACACACAAGGGTCTCTTTCAAGCAGGGTCATCCTAAAACAAGGAAAGCCTTCAAAAAAAAAAGGGGGGGGGAGAGAGAAAGGAATGACAATTCAAAATTTATCCTATTTGCTAGATTGTGCGGCAGGGGATGAATCTGAATTCAGAGCTAGCTTCTTTTGGTTTTTAAAGGAATGCCCATTTTGCTACAAATAAGGAAGAACTCAGGTCAAGCACTTCTTGTTCTCAGAAAAAGGCAAGATTTTTTTTAAAGTCACCAGATATGAATAGAACAGCTTTCTCCAACCTGGTGCCATCCAGCTTTGTTAACATACAATGCCCAGCTTCAATCTGGGGGGGATACTGGGAGTTGTAATCAAATACATCCAAAGGGTACCAGGTTTGGGAAAGCTGAACTAGAGAGACTTAGTCCAAATTTCAGCAACAAAATTTAAATATGTTCAAACTACATATCCTGAGACACACCTGCAGAGACCTGATCATGTGTCAATCAGTAATGCACACCTGGCAGTGTGAGGTCTTTGAGGGAGGTAGACATCCATTCAATAAGAATTTTATCCAGTAAGTAGCTTTTTCCCCAAGTAGATGAATTCTGAGCCCGGGGGGCGGGGGGGAGTGCCCACACCACAAGGCCCTGCTGTGGTGTGTCTGTACTCCAATGCACAGCTTTTAATTGAAGGACTGGCTTGCCAATGTGAAGCAACTCACAGCATTTCTTTTGTTCATACATTCTTCACATCACAATGCTTAGGAATTAAGAAGCACACTGATGAATAACATAAAGATTAAGAATGAATCAACAGGCAGTGGTCTTCCAAACACATCTCTAGAAGCTACCTAGCGAGACAAGATGCTTCCCTGGGAATTGACTCATAACTCATAGGACACATGCTGTCCATTAGAGAGAAAGTGGTCGCACAGAAGAAAAAGTGGTTTTGAAAAAGAGAAGCAGGCAGGATGCTGTAAAAAGAGGACAGGTACAGCCCCATTCTCTGCCCATTTGCTCCCAGGTGAGTCCCAGTGTGTTCACTGAGGTCAAGGCTGAAATACTATGCCCTTTCAACTGGAAGCAAGCTCCATAGAACTCAGCAGGGCTTACTTCCAAGAAGACATATCCAGAATTGCACTGTAAGGGTGCACAGAACTGCAGCCTTATTCAAACAGTTCTGGGGTCACAGATTTCAAATGCTCTTCACTTTCACTGAAGCACAAAGCACTGTGAAGATTATGCAATAATCAGCTACATGACACATTAGAGATTTATAGACAAATATGAATGTATATACATAGAAGAACCTGCCCTTGGTTCAAAGATGGGAAAAAATCCTAAGCCTTTAACAGAAGCACAACAGTCACTGGCACTTTAAATACCACACATCTGTGCGAAACTTTTTTAATCCCTGTGATGGCATTTTTGATAACTGTATCAGTGAATTTTGTGAAAAGCCACAAAACTTATATGGTACTGAACAGAGGATACTTTTGTGAACAGTGTTATTGCATTTTGTAATGCTATTTGCTTAAATAGGCACACTTGGCTGCACCCTAAAACAAAGAAAGAAAAAGTGGAGAGAGGGCAAAACAGAAGGAAGGACCACAAGTTGATATTCGCTACCTAGGCAGATAGGAGGCAGTACAAAAGCACATGCCTAGTTAGCTCTTGTATTCTGCTTTGAATTGGAGAGTTTGGAAAGAAGGGAAGAGGAGGGGGGAAGTGGCTATCCCTCCCACTGAATCCTCTGGGGTCTGCACTTCAGTAACATGAGCCAATAAGAACATGCAATCCTGTGTTTGGGAGACAACCACTGCATCTCCTCCAAAAGATTAATGAAGAAAAAAAATCCTCTACCAGGAGTGCTAGGAGGCAGATTCTCCACTCCAGTATTATTCTGAAGTAGTCCGAAAGTGCTCGTTCACAGCACTAGGACCTGGAATGGCTTAGAACCCCTAATAGAACCCCTAATTCGATGGATTCCACATGTCTGGCCAATCATTTCAAAGGATGCTTTCCAGCTTTGTCTCTGAACAGAGGCAGCATAATCCTGTTCTGCAGGGCGACAACTTTCCAACCCCTTCCCCCTTTTGGAGAAAGTGCTCCAAATCCAAACGCAGCACTATTCAGGATAGAACTATATAGACTCAGCGTTCAGGACCCTTTTAAGATTGGATCAAACCTTCTCCTTTATTCAAAGAACCAAACCCTCCCCAGGGTACACCTCTTTTTCAGGTAGAGGTTCCAGAGCTACCACCCTAGCAAGGCCAAGACACCCAGTCCTCATTTCCAACTCTCTGCAGCCTTTTCCTTGCCAGCAAAACAGAATGCTTGTAAGGGAAGAGCAGGCAAAGGAAGAGGTGGAGGGAAACTGGGAAGTTCACAACGTGCAGTTAAGCCTCCTGTCTTGACTTTATTTAGTTCCCAGAGACTCTCCAGTGCCTCCAAAGCTTATTAACAAGATTCTCAGAGAAGTTGGCACCAGCGACAGCCAAACAGCTCCCATTAGCACCAGAGAGAACACAGAGATTCCATTAGGGAGGGCAAAAGGGCTCCCCAAGCATTCCCTTTTCTGGCAAGCTCCACTGCAGCAAAGGATCTCTAGGCGCTGCCCCTCCCTTTTTGCTTGGGCACGAGAACTAATTGGGAAGAAAAATAAAATGAGGAGACTGAACTTGTGACCTTTCCTTTCTTGAGGGGGCTTGCTTATACTTTAAAAGGCAGGGACCCCCATCCCCCCACAGGTTTCCCATTCCAACCCAGAGGTTTCTGACCGTGCAGCTACTCTCATGCTAAGCCTAAACTAAATCACAACAAGCGGTAGGTGTCTAGCCAGCCCGAGTTTGTGTGCAGACAGTGGTCATGCCATTTCCCTGCTCTTAGGAGATGGAAAGTGGTGGGAGGGATAAGTCAAGGGCTCCGCCAAAAACACTCAAGGCAGCCAGCTCCCATGGCGCGTACTCACAGACACACACCACACACACACCGTGGTACGACACAATGCCTTATGTTATGCACTCACCGGCCAGGCAAAACTGAACGGGAGGACTATCCGATTCCTTTCGTTATTCCGACTGTATTTCAAATTGAAGGTATTCCCACCGATGACCGGAGTAGCTCCGGATCCAAAGCTGCAAGGGCCCTCCGCGGAAACTCGGGACTGATACTCCTTCAGGCAAACTTTAAAATAAGTATCACACTCATCTCTGGTGCATTTTCGGTCGGCGGGATTTCGGGTCCCATCGCAGCAATTCCCATTTTGCAATTCACCATTTACGTTTTGCATGGATAGGATCTCGAACTCAAACTGCCCCGATGTTAGAGTCACCTGTTAAAAAGTAAGTCCGCCCCAAAAATAAAGAGCAAAGTGTTAGTACATTGCATGTAAAATAATAATAATGGTGTGCGCGTGTGTGTGTGGGGGGGAATAGCACATAGTCACAACGGAAGGGGTCTATTACCCCCTCATTCAACAGGTAAGTAAGGCAGAACAGAAAGCCAAGCATATGCATTGCATCCTCCGTAATCAAAAGTAAACGGTTGCTAAAATCCAACAACGGAGGAAATGCATGTCACTTTCAGGTCTTGGATCCTATCTTAAGTAAATGAAGGAAGGGAACATTAGAAGCAAAAATATATGCCGCCAAACCCCTCAACTCTTCCCAACCAGTCAAGCTCACAACCAACTCTGCAGACCATCAGTCATTGAAGCCCCATGTGCAAAGGGCCTTTTAAAAAGCAGAAGTTCTCCTGTAGGAAAAAAGCGAAACGCAGTAATCCTCGGGGAGTTTGTTATTAAAGAAGAGGAGCATTCCTCTGAAAATCAATCAGCAGCGACTCAAAATCTTGCTGCAGGAGCGTCTTTTTTTAAGGCTTCGAATGTTTTAGAAAGCAGTCGCTGCTGCCGCTCGTTTAACACGAGGCTGTCGGGGATTCCTCTCTCTCACGTAAGGGAAGCAACTTGCTTCCCTCCACTCCGCTTCTTCTTCCAAGATTTAGCAAATGGATTATCTTTTTGTAGAAATAGGAGGGGGACGAGAACGCGAGGCTCAATTGAAAGTTTCCGTCCAAAAGGAAAGGGGGGAAAAAAAAGCAATTTGCATAGCTAAAAATAAAATGATGGAAAACAAGAGAGAAAGTGCAACGTACCTTTACTCGCGAACATAACAGAGCAAGAAGAAGACTTAAGGAGAACTCCGTGAGCTGCGGTCTCTTTGATAAAAGCATGCCTCTTTCCTGCAGAGCCCCTTCGCTTAGAGACGCTTCCAAGCTGCTGCTCTTTGCAGCCGCTGTCCGGCTCTAATATACTCCCCCAATCGAAGCACGCACGGGTGGAAGACAACACCACTTTTCAAAAGCTTTTCAATAGCGCCCAGATCTTCAATGCAAAGCAGCCCAGCCTCCTTTTATTCTCCTTGGCCCCCCTCTCCCCTTTTCTTTCTTCCTTTTTTAAATTATTATTAACGATGATTATTCTGGTCCCTTTCTGACGCCCCCCGTCGCTCGGCTCTCTGTCTCCCCCCTCTCTCTTTCTTTGCAGATCACTTGCCACCTCTCGATCAAGGCCACACAATAACCCGAGCGAGCCCCCCTCCCCACCCCCCGCGACACACACATAGACGACACCCAACGACGACGAGGAAAAAAAAATCACACCCGCGCGAAACAAAAAGCCCGAGGAGAAGGGAACCGATTGCCCGTTCTGCGAGCCCCACTGAACTGACTGCTTCATCTAGCTAGCCCATGGCCACAGGAGGCGGGGAAGCAGTAGGCAGCGCATGCGTTGTTATTAATATGCATGAAGAGGAGGGAGGAAGGGAAGCGGCCGCACCGCCTTGACTCCCTGGGGAGACTTGTCTTTTCCTTGGAAGGGTGACAAGAGGAGGAGCGACAGCAGCAACAGCCGCGGGGGGGGGCGAGGAGGAGGAGGAGGAGTGGGGGGAGATTTGAAGAAGGTGAGCAGAGCAGGTGGGTACGGCGAAGCTGGGCGATAGGGGCAGACACGACAATCATTCTTAAAGCAGCTCTTTTCGATTCCGTTTGCGAATACGGAACCGGGGGATCCCTCGTTGTTTTTATGATGACGAATCTTCCATATCTCGTGCTAGAACAAAAAAAAAAAAAAATCGGTCAAAACATGGAAATGGGGAGTGGTACTTCTCAGGTGGAGTCTGCTAAGCCCTCTCCTACGAAGCCGGCTTCCGTACGTTCATCCTGCCTTCAAGCTTGCAGAAGCCTGGCATGGGCTTCGCAAACTTCATGGCTATAGGTCTCACTGTTCAGGTTCTTGCCCCTCCATGCACGCGTTTGTGCGTTAGGAAGGTCCACTTAGACTTGCACCCCGGATCTTTCGAGGTGCCGCAATTGCCACCAGCTGCCTTAAATGCAAGCCTGCTTCCTCCCTTTGAACTCGGGAGCCCTGCTGTTACTAGGAGACTTGCGGACTCACTCTCTTAGCAGACTAGCAGGGAGTGCAGCCTTTTAAGCTTGGAGGGGTTGCCGCCACTTTGCCTGCCACGGTCCGCTCATTATTTTCATTGTCCGGAGGCCAAGCCTGCCTAGCAGCGCCGCTGTCACTTGGCGTTATCAGAGTTGCTCGCTCTGCAGACCTGCCCGGGCAACTGCGCTCGTGTCCTGGGCCACTGTCGGCAGCGAGGCCCTGACAAGAGGAACCAGTTGGTCGCTCCATATCAAATGGAGTGCCAGAGGCCTTCCCCATCTGTTGCTGTTCTTATGGGGGGCGGGGGGTTGCTTGCAAAAAGAGGTTTGAATAAGCAGCTATGTCCGAATTTGGAGCAAGGCAATACCAGTGCATCTTGCTGCATGTGCCTGGAGCTCCTTGGCTCTGAAGCTCTCTTTCTGCACCTGCTTTTAGTATGAGCCACATTGGGGGGGGGGGGTGCATCGTTCTCTTTGGCATCAGGAGTTTGCATTAGGCTAGAGAAAGGTGAACACATACAGGAGGGGGATAGGGTTTCTTGCTTTCTTTAATGATTTACTCGTTTGCTGTGGCATATGAAGCTTGCATGCACGGAAGCCCACTGTACAGAAAGTTATTTTGAAAGAAGTTGCGCTCTATCGGATTGGAGGAAAAGGGCACTCAGTGCAATAAAGGTACAGGCTCCCTAATGATCTCTCTTGCATCTGGTCCCTCTGGATTATCTTGCTTTTTGTCCACATGTGCTTCCCCTCCTGCTGCCTCCAATCTCTGCCTGAGGTGTTTTTAAACCAAATGCCCTCCTCTCCCCTAGCCATACTTTTTTTAAAACAAAAAGGGAGTCCTTGGGAGGCAGGGTATTTAAAGATACACACACACATTAGGGCCCGAAGCAGCCACCTCAAAGAGCTGATTTGGGAAGTCATGAAAAGGCAGCAAATAGCTATTTAATTTATTGTTGTATTTTCTCACCCAGGGATGGGAGGAAAGGTACTTGTGAGATTTTCCCTCTCAGGAGTTGAAACATCTTGAGTGGCTTTAAGTACTATAATGCTCCTTGGCTGGGGTGGTGGGGGGACCATTTGCCAGACCCTGGAGGTGGCTACAGAGGCCTGTGGGGAAAGAAAAGGTAGCTGAGGCAGTAGAGGAGATTATGAGGGGTAGGGAATGAATTGGGGGTACAGAGAGATCCATGCATGGGCAAACAGGTTCCAGATTACATCACTGACATCCTAAACATGTTTCCTCAGCAGTAAGTCATGCAGAGTTGAGTGTGATTTACTTCCTGGTTAGTATGTAGGAGACTTCTTAATAAATATGCTCAGAGTTTCAGTTTGCCTTATCCACATACATGAATCTGGAGAGAAGTCCAGGCCTGATCATTTTGATAATTTAAACACAAGCAACAACCAGAAACAAAGGTTAGACATGCTGGTCCATGAAAAATATAAATCCCAAATTCATTTTGATTGGTCCTAATAATCAAATGCATTGTACAACTATGCTTTTTGGAATTTTAAGAGCTGTATTATAGTAATATTGCCAAATTTGGTGTAGATTTTAGGATTTGCAGAAATTGGAATGGTTAAAAAAGGTGTTCTAAACTCCCAGAAGCTACCAAAATAAAGAATTTAAAATAAAATTAAGGTCCAACTTTGATGATGGCTCTCTTTGCCTTTTCAGGTGGGAGGACCAGGTGCAGCAAAGTATTATCCTACAGTCCAGTAGTCATTGCCAGGTGCTGTGCTTGTGGGTGATGGGGGAGGGGGTAAGTTAGGATTTACTCCAGAGAAAATCCCACTATGTGTAATGGGGCCTACTCCCTAGTAATTGTGTAAGTTTGCAGTCTAAGAGCAAGGGTTATTATAGTCTATTGTACATTCCTTCTCTCCCTTCCAGTGTGCCCAGTTCCATTTAGAACTGGTAAATGTTTAAAGGCCCACAGAGCTCTTTGCTGATCCCAGGCACTCATCCTCCCCATCTGGATTAAGGCCTGAAAAGCCAAGGAAAAATGTAGGTACATGGAGGTAAGTTTTCAGCAAGCAGAAATTGGGATATGGTACTATACATAAAGCAAGAACTTCATTCACTTGCCTTCTATAACACCACAGTTTCTATTTCTAGTTGCCTATGCAAATAAGCACATTAAATGTGTGCAACTTTTGTGTGTGCCCTAACGGCCTGAACCCTGGATCTCTTTGGTACGTAACACTGCCCCAGCATTACACTTCCAACTGAGAAAAACATTCCTAGCCTTGACAAAGTGGGTTTTAGTACACAAAAAACTAAATCTGTTTTTTCAAGGTACCAAAAGGCACTTGGTAGTTCTGAGATAGCGAGAGCGAGCCCTTTTGTAATTCTCCCAGAGGGCCACACAAACTGAGCCCATTCCCAGGGCAAGGGAAGAGAAAATGAATTTCAGGAAAGCAGGGTTTTAAACAGTCATACCCATCCCAGCTTCAGTCACAAAGCTCACAGAGGGGCAAAGAGTAACTTAATACATGTGTGGGCTTTATCCAGAGGGAGCTCCTGGGAAGAAGGGTGTTTTTAGCTCTCAATTGCAACAGTTAAGTAGTTTTTATATCCCAAAAGCTGGGCTGTGCATGAGCATTGCATGCTCAAGCAACCTTGGAAGCAGCTTTTCCGGCAGGCAGGCGGCAGTGGCAGCCTCCTCCTCACACAGCAAGATAAACATAGGCTGCATGCATCAGTGCTCAGGCTGTGGAAACGAATGGGAGTCTTACAGTGCACATCTGTGCATGTTTACTCTGAAGTAAACCCTATTGTCTTCAGTGTGACCTACCCCCTAGGTAAATCTGCATATGGTTACAGCCTGCCTGACTTATGTTTCCCTGGGCTATACAACTGCAGGGTCCAGGTGAGGACCTGAATGAGTGAAGGCTGCTTTGTGCAAATAAAATAAATTCCATGGCCGTGGGGCCGGCAAGCAGGGCTTTGGGGCAGAACCTGATCAACAAGGACTCACATGCCATGGGTCTGGCTACTGCCTTTGGAAGTTAGTGAAGTAATGCACACTGATGGCTAAAGAGGTCCCTCCACCACCTTCACAGGATTAAGTCCAGAGTGTAATATTACCAAACCACACGGTTTACCCTTGCACACAGAGAAGTAGCACATCAAGAAAACAGACATACCAATGGGAAATTATTCTGGATATGACAAAGCATCACATGTGAGCTGCTTTGACATGCTACCTGAAGAAGCCCGGACAGGGGTGAACCCCTTCCTTGCAGTCCTGTCCTGGGGTGGGGGTGTCCAACCAGTGCTTTTCCCTTAACAAAGGGGAACTATGGCTTTGATCAGGAGTCATGCTTGTCTACTCATGGTGTGCCTGATCAGTAAGTGCATCATTTAAAAAACCCCCCAGATATTTCAGCTGAAGTAGAACACACAGGCATGTGCACACACAGGAATATTAGGAGCCAAAACAGGTCCTGCTTTAAATGTCTATCTAGGAGAAACAATTGTTAAATTTTTACTCTGGTGTAAGCAGAACCACTGAAATGAGGGGCTTTTAAGATCTGTACTGGGACTTCTGTGTCTACTCTAGAGTAAAAATGAGGGCAGGAAACAGGACTGCGGCTTACAAATTGGAATCAGTATCAGTTTTGGTCCTGAGAAATTTGATTTATAGATAGCTGAACTTGAGAGAGCTGGTGTGTGCAAGACAGTGCACCTCTGGGGGCAGGGCATATCTGCTTTGAGTAGGGTGTTAGAAACTGAGTGTTTGCAATATTTGGTACTTTGCTATGCAATGCCATTAGAAAAAGAAATGCCTCTACAGCGTGTTAAGGGTACCTCCGCCCATATAGCTGAATGATGACAGCTATCCCATACACATTTAGGAGCAGGGGAAAGAACTGGTGTTCCAGAACCTCTGCTTATGAGCCAGAGGAAGAAAACAAAGATAGCAACACAAAATGCAATGAAAGTCTAAGGAAATGGTCCTCAAAAAGCCATGACTCTAAGTCTGCAGTCCTTCGCATCTTTACTTGGCAGTAAGTTCCATTTGCTTCCAAAGAAATCTGCAGAGGACTGGTATTGTATAGAAATCACTAGGAAA